GAGACAGCCTGGTTGAGAGAAACCAGAGGCCTCTTCTTCTCCTCATAGCTGTTGTCACTGGAAGCCCCTTCCATGCTGGGGCGTAGCAGGATCCTCTGTGCCACGGCCTCGGCATCCTCCTCGCTCGACAGCTCGTCAGAAGCACCGTCCCTGTTGGTGCCATCCTCCTACAAATGCAAAGCCAAGGCCACACCAAGGACCAGCCTGAGTCCCACCAGAGGCTCAGAGCTGCACCCCGGCACAGCCCTCAACGCCACATGATCCCCACAGAACACACAGAAACAGAATTGGCATCAGAGACTTCAGATTTTAACTCTTTCCCCCTGCTCTTGTCTTGCCTGAGAGGTAATGAGAGAGAATTTTGGGTGGTGGATTTGGAGTTGGGGAAAGGGCAACAAGAGGAGGATGCAGCAGCAGCTCTTGGCTGTGCCTTACCAGCAGCCTCAAGCCCAGCTGTATCTATGAGCTGGGAACAAACCCAAAATCCTGCGTTGTGCCCTTACACTGAACTCTGCCTCCCTCCAAACTCCTTCACAGAGAGGAGGTGGGATGGCACAGTACAACAGAATTCCGCACAGGATCTATTCCAAGTTCTTCATGTGAAGTTAACACACTACAGGCCCAGAGGAAACTCAAGAGTAATTCCCAAAATCTTTATGTTTCAAAGCTTTCAACAGAGGTTACGATGCTTTAGCTTTTTCTCTCTCCCCCCAACGGAGGTCTCAGTCTTGCAAGACAAAATATTTTATGGAACTGCTTTTGAAAATGGCCAATTTAGTCATCATCAGCACTCTCCCTTAACTGAACACCTTGTGATCAGAAGTGTCAACAATTATCAGAGCACTCTGGTAAAACACACATTCCAGACTGTCTGTCTGGCCATACTTGCTCTGGCTGGGCAGGGCTGGAGCACCCTGGGATAGTGGAAGGTGTCCCTTCCCACAGTAGGGGTGGAATGAGCTTTAAGATTCCTTCCAACCCAAACTATTCTGGAATTCTATTCTATGATTATGAAAAGAAAGTACCAGCAGCTTTTCTGCTGCTCAGTGAGAGGCAGAAGGGGGTTTCTAGGTTCTTTAATGCAGGCAAAGATCAGCAGGAGGGAATATCTTGTATTAGATCAAACCATACAGTTAAATACCAACACACTTCTGGGCACACAAAGAACACACTGAAACTGTGATTTCAAAAGATCTCCCCTGGCAGTACCTGATGGCTCTTCTCCCCATCAGAAAGTTTACTTTTCTCTTTGGAGTGCAGCAGCCTGTGTTCAGATCTGGCCTGTCTGGGTTTGAAGCCATCACCCACAGCACTCACACCACTTTCTGTCTCAGTCCCTTTCTCAGCTACCAGCTTTACTGTTCTATTCCTAGGAGAGAAAATACAATTAAATGCTTTTATGTCAGGGAAAAACTCTGGTGTAAAACAATCTGGTCTTCCCTTGTCACACATGTGCAGCATCAAACAAGATACCTAAGGGATAAATAATTTCCTTTGGCAGGCTTTGTGTGCTGAGTCTGTTAAAAGATTTATAGCTGCTTCACTCTCACTCAACATGTCTTTTGTATCTCTAATAGTGTCTTAAAACTTCTAAATCAAGGGGAAATTTTTCATTATTTAAAAAACCGTAAGAGCAGTTCAGAAAACAAAAAGTCCTCATGAAGAGGAAGTGCCTGTGACCTGGAAACTCACCATGAAATTCACCTGGGAAAACAGGAGAAAACAATTAAATATCCCCTACAATCTCTCCTCCTTTTCCTTGAGTTACTTTTAGAGAAGGAAGGTGACAAAGTGAGAGACAACTGTCCAAAGCAGAAGCCACAACTGCTTTTGAAAATCAGCTAAAACAGCAATATAATCTGAGCACTCACTCAAACAAGGTCACTTATCAGATAAATAAAAATAAACTCCACCACATTCTACAGCTCATCTAACATTTGGTTTCATATGATCTAATTTTATACAGTCTAATTTTATATGATCTAATAAGGACATACTAAATATTCCTGAGGAATCAGCTTCCCACATTACCATGGAAGTTTTAATTCAAGAAAAGACTGACAGGCTGTGGGGATGTCAGTGACAGCACATGCTGTGCCTTCATCCTCCAGGTACCAAACTGCTGCCAGTGTCATGAGCAGCACAAACCCAGCAGGGACCACGTACCTCCTCTGGAAGAGCAGACTGGATAAATTGGTCAGCAGAGATGCAGAGCCAGACTGCTCTTCCTTGCTGGCTCTGTCAGGAGAACACCAACTGCTCCCATCCACACCCACAGGTTTGCGTAACTTCCTGATTTTTAAGACAAGGAGAATTAAGTTGGTGTAAGAAGCTACTTTAAGGCCTTCTTTAAAAGATCTGAATGAGATTGGAACAGCTTTTTGGATGGCTTTTTTTCTGAAGCCATGCAAATAGAATGTATTTTCCAAATACAAAAATTCTGCCTATACCCCCAGCACATCAAGGCATCCCTGGGAAAGGCACAAGGGACTAAACAAGGAGGGAATCAGGAGGGAATCAGGTTTGCTGCAGCCACCTGAAGGAGGAAAGCTGGGTGCAGCCCCAGCATGCCCAGCTGGGAGCTCAGTGAGGGCCCTGCTGGTGCTCACCTGCGGCGCCGGCCGAGCCCGTTGCTCCCTGCAGCTCTGTTCACCTGTGTGGACACGATCTGGCAGTGAACTGTCCCCAGCAGCAGCATAAGGCACAGGGGTCCCATCACTTCACTGGCACTCACAACAGGCACCATGAAGTACAGCACCACTGCTACCACTGGAAATGGGGAAAGGCAAAAATTAAAGAGTCTGTCTTAACTATTTATTTTTACTCTACTTTGTTGTACAGTTATTTAATTTCTGCAATTGTTATTGTTGTATTGTATTGTTGTTATTGTATTGTTACTTAATTTCTGCAATTACTAGTGCTACACACCATGAAACGCACATTAAGTAGATTCCAGACAAGATCCTCACGCTTTAGATTATGGACTACAAAATCACAGACTCACTAAGCTTGGCTAAGCCCTCTGAGCCCATTGAGTCCAACCACTCCCCCAGCACTGCCAGGGCCACTCCTAACTCATCTCCCCATCTTTGATGTCACATTCTTTGCAGGACAAGGTTTATGGCACAGCCTGTTCCCTCACCTTGCATAATGTAGAGCACCAAGAGCCATGTAAAAATTCGCTGGGAGGTGACCTGTATCCACCACTGGCTGAACAAGGGGAAAAACACCACTCTCACAATTCCCTTCCTCGTCAGAGATGTCCAGGGAATTTCAGGCTTGGCTTTGGCAAAGGTAGAGCCTTGGAATTAAAGGGGAAACAAGCCACCATTAACTGTGAATCACAAGAACTGCCTTGCTGGAGTTCCTCTCTGGGCAGCCCCAGCCCAGTTTCAGGCACCATTCAGAGCGGCACAGTCCCAGCAGACACAGCTACAGCAGCTCCTTGTCTTCTCCCAGAGCTCTGGCTCTGCCCCTTCCCTGCTCCCCCCGAGCACTCCTGCAGAGCCACCCCAACTCCTCCTGCCTGCTCTCAGGTTTTCAGGGGGCTCCCATGGCAGCAGGGCAGGTTCTGCTTCCCCCACCCTGCACAGAGCTGGGGTGCACCTACAGAACCATGGAATATCCTGAGCTGGAAGGATCGCCAAGTCCCTGCAGACACCCCAACAATGCCACCCTGGGCATCCCTGGAGTGTTCTCCTGGAGCCCTGGCAGCCTCAGGGTCGTGCCCACCCCCGGGGAGCCTGGGCAGTGCCCAGGACCCTCTGGGGAAGGAACCTTCCTGATATCCAACCAAACTGTGAAAAACATATATCTATTGATTGGCTTTTCACAAATGTTACAATGAATATTATATGGTGTAATGCTAGAAAGTTATGTTGTATTAATTCTCTGAAGTGGTGTGATAAATGTAGTTTTAGATTAAAACATAATGTTAAAATAGAAAGTCTATGATATAGAATTTGTTACAAGCTCAAGCAGAAAGATGAGATAATCAAGAAACTCTTCACACAGAGATGTCAGCGAAGGGAGCTCATGAAAAGTTACAGCCTCCTTATCAGAAAAGACATTCTTCCACCTTCTCTCCATCTTTTTGGAACCACCAAGATTAAGGAGAAGAAGTTGACAAAAACCAGAAAAGTTCTTAATTTGCAAGGAATTTATGCATCATGTATGAGATATATGAATATGCAACAGGCTGTTGCTTTTAAGGTTATTCCTTTATTCACAAGGGATGCTTTTTGCGACTTAGTGCCAGAGAGCATCCAAACATCCATAATTCTTTGCTTTTTATTGTCTTGTAATTATCCTAACTCTAAATTTTATTACTCTAATTGTATTATTATTTTATAATAATTTTATTATTATTAAACTTTAAAAATTGTAAAAACCAAGCGATTGGCGTTTTTCACACAAACCCTCCTGTGCCAGCTCCGGCCGCTCCCTGGTGCCATCCCCGTCCCAGGGAGGACGGAACAGAGCCAGCAGCGCTCACCGCTGATCAGATCCACGTCGATCAGGTCGGGCTGGATGTGCCCCTTTTTCTTCGGCTTATTCTTGAAGCCCTGCGGGGCGGAACACACGGCCGAGTTAGCGGCGAGGGGAGCGGGACACACCCTCCCTCTCCCCGCCGCCGGTACCTTCATCTGGGTCTGCTCCACCGCCTTCTCCCATATCTGCTGGTCGTAGGCCCCGATCTGTGGGGAGAGGAGCCTGAGGGCACGGCCGGGCCCGCGCCCGCCCGCCCGCCCCGCGCCGCACTCACCTTCTTCTGGTACCATGAAATGGCATCGCGACAGGCCATGGGGAGCGGCGGGACCGGCACCGGCCCGGTCCCGGTACCGACCCCGGCCCGGTCCCGGTCCCGACCCCGCTCCCGTTACCCTGGAAACCGCCCGGCGCTCGACTGGCTCCGCCTGCCGCCCCCCCCACCCAGGCAGCGCCAGCCGAGCGCCGAGCGCCGCCCCGACCCCCTCCAACCCACAGACGGAAGAAGCGGATAAAGGACAAAATCAGACTTTTGTTTATTTAAAAAAATACTTTACAGGAAAAAAATTCTATGCATTCCGCAGGACTATTTTACAAAGAAATAGCTTAACGGTTTGACACTGGTGTACAGTCAGCTACCGACAGCGCGGGGGGGCGCGGGGCCGCCCCCGCACACGCGCGAATGTCAATAAATACACTAAGGCCGCACAAAGCAAACAGTCGTCCAGGCAATTGTACACGTCCTCTGGAGGCAGAGACCTTAGATAAATTAAAACCACAGAAAAAAATAATCGTAGCTGCCAATCAAATCAAATTAAATCACGAAACAGCAATACAGGAGTCGGTATCTTTACATGTTGTACAGAGAAATGGGGAAAAGCGGTGTTTGAATGCTCGGGGTGCCCTGGCCGCTGCTCGGAGCCCACGGGAAGGGACAGAACAGGCTCTGGGGGACAGGGAACGGTCCCTCCGCTCCTCTCCCACCCCCGGCAGCTCCTTCCCAGACCGGACAATTTGCCTTGTCCCGGGGAACTGACCTGAAACACGCAGGAAACCTGGCAGAGCGCAGCAGAGCCCTGTGAAAAGTGTCCCTTAGAATGCCCTGGGGACACCTGCTGGTGTCCCCGCTCCTGGAACAGAACCTGCAGGAACCTGCACACAGCGACCTGGAGCTGGCCTAGAGGAGAGGAAACCAAAGGCAGCTGCACACTGCACTTGTTAGTCCATTCCTAACAAAACCGAGCCACTTTATCCCTGGGAGGTTTCAGCCACCAGCATTTAGATTTAAAGTCGAGCCTAAGCCTCGGTTCTGTTTCACACACAGAGCACTTGGTCAGTGACAGCTGTCTCCAGCACAAAGACGAAGTATTTCCTACCTGACACACACCACAGAGCACTGAGGATTTGCAGAACTGACCAGCACATTTGTATTTAGGAACTGTTCTGTATCTGCTTTCCACTGAGGGTAACAGAATGTTAAGGTGTTGGAATGGACCTTAAAAATCATCCAGTCCCAACTCCCTGCCATGGGCAGGGACACCTCCCGCTGGGCCAGGCTGCCCAACCTGCCTTTGAAAACTTCCTGGGCAACCAGATCCTCACCACCCATCACATTTCTTCTTCATCTCTAACCTAAATTCCTCCTCTTTTGATTTGTACCCATTCCCCTTGTCCTGTCACCCAGTTCCTGATAACAGCCCCTCTCCAGCTGCAGCCCCTGGAAGGGGCTGTGAGGAGTCCACACTGAACAGCCCAAACTTCCTCAGCCTTAGAACAAGCCACCAAATCAAAGGTGATTAGCTCATTAAGGAGCCTGGTTTAGGAAATCTTGGAGAAATTCAAATAGCAGCTATTTAACATGAGATACTCAGAAATATTTACTGGATTTGTTCTGCTCAAACACTAAATGGCCGGAACTTGTTACTTCCTCTCTAAACTGCTCTAGCTCATTAAAAAAATCAGTCTTCTACAGGTCTTGTGCTGGAAAACATTTGCATTTGTCCCATCAAGGCTTTGTTCTGGGCAACTGAAGCAATGGCTGGGGACGAGCAGCTTCCCAAGCAATCCCTCTCACACTTTACATCCAGAGCTGAGGTGGGATTTGAAAGTCTGCCAGTTTGGTTAAAGCACAGCAAATCTGAGCATGGATTTAGTAAGAGATTCTCAAACAGCTTGTTCCTCTCTCCCTCAGTCTTCCAAAGTAGGATGGCATCAGCAACATTCAGGTCATTCAAAGATACCTTTATTTATGTGCATTTAAATCTGACATTAGGTTTTAAGTTAGTAACTGAGCAGAGCACAGAGAGCATGATGCTATTGCTCATGTCCCTCCATGCAAGAGGAAGTCAGCATTTTCCAGGTACTACAGGCTGTTGTCACAGATTTCACTAAAGCTACAGCTTGGAAAGTAGCACAAGCCACCCTAGTCCTCCTTCATCCACTTAAAAACGTGCTATTAGAATTTACAGAGGACTTCCAAATGGATTCCCTCCTCCTTCCATTGCAATTTTCCCAAGAAACAAACAGGTTGGGCCCTGCTTGCTGTGCCACGGCAGGCCCCTGCAGGTGTGACAGTTCCTGAGAGATCAGTGCTGGCTGCCAGGGAAGGCACCCGGGGACGGGACGGGCACATGGAAGACTCGCAGACTTGGTCAAAAGGAAAGAACACCCCTGGGGAATCTTTGAATGTGAAGGATGAACTGAAACCACTATTGCCTGTGAGGAATTTTACTTTGCACAACCCTTAAAGCTATGAAATTCCTCTCAACATAAAAAGTGGAAAAAACCCACCAGAGAACTGACGGCTCGTCTCTGAGCCGCGCTGAGTCATCTAGAATTTCTGCTAAGATTAAATTACACCCCTGCATGAATCACATTACTTCTCATCATAAAAGCTTTCCATTCTAACACCTTATTTACACAGATTACTAAACGAGTCACTACCACTTCAATCTGTAAATTAGTTTAAATTGAAATATTTCCTAGTCCTCATTTTTGTACCGAAGACAATACATACATACACATAAGGAGTAATACAGGTTCTAACTAATCACTGCAGTATCTTCTGAGGATTATTTCTCTATCAGTTTAAAATAGTGACCTCTACACTGAGGTGCTAATATGTATATAAAAGCCTACACAAACAATATTGCACAAAGTAAGATTTATAATAGAGTAACATATTTTAGAGACCCTTATAAAGAGAAGAGTAATAATTGATATTAAAAAGATGCATCCAGAACTAACACAGCATCTTTGCTTTTGTCTAGTCTAACATAGTGTTTCAAATCTTTCCTACCCCAGTGAGGATTAGAACAAATAAAGTTATCTGGAGACAGCTTAAGTTGCACCAAACCCCAACTTGTACTCTAAATGTGGGGAGGGGGGAGGAGGGAAAAGGGACTTTTCCTTTTGATGACTGGAAAGGGCAGTAATAAATGGGGTGAGTGAAAGTCAAATACAGGTTACACGTTAACATCCAGAAATATTGAAAGATTGTTTAAAAACTGTTGATAGCTGACACTCTACACATTGAGCACGTGCTGCTGATTTTTCCACAGTAACTGGGCACCCAGGAGCTACACATGGAAAAAGCAGTCCAACGCCAAAATACTTTTTATTGTGAAATACTAATACAGAACTTACACAGTAAGGCTGTCCTTATTCTAGGGAGTCAGGTATCAGCTCAATGCTTATTATATTAAGTGCATCAGTACAAGGGAAAGTGTGGATCCATTGGACACGTTACGACCCGATCAAAACAAGCTGCCAAGTTGGTTAAGTATTTTAAAGCCTTAAAGTGCTCAAAGATAGCAGTTTCCTCCACAAGACTACCAAGAGGTTCTCTAATTTTGACACTAGCATTTATCACATTCAGGGAAGATGTATTTTGGAAGCAAAAACCCCCACACCAAACAACATAAGCAGTGCTATGAGAAGTGTTAGGTCAGTAAGTCATTGCATTTCAACAGGAATCAGACACTTGCTTCAGTTCTTTTTACAGGTCACCCTTGTAGGAACTGTAAGAAACATCAATTTCTATAGCTTGTATATAAACCAACATGTCAAGAACAGACATACCAAAAATTCCACAAATCATCAAAAGTGCTGTGCTTTCTCTATTTTTTTCTTTTTTCTTTTTTTTCCTTTTTTTTTTCTTTTTTACTTTTTTAAGCAATTAAAATGAGATGGGGAAATCACTTTGCAAGTCTTCTACAAAAGCATCACTTTCTGGTGAAGATTAGAGATAAAGTAAAAGTAGGGAAATAACACTGACCAATGGAGCTCAATCATTTCATATTCCTGGAGGAATTTCAATCTGACTTTGAGAAGATATTCAACATCTCTTTACTTAAACAGAAAGAAGTGGTAGACCACTGTTACAGGTTGTACTAAGGGGTTAAAATACAACTTGAATTTTGCATAATCTGTGTAAAAAAGATATGCTTGACATTTTGGAATGTCACCTTTCTTTATAGAATTATAGGCAAGATTTCTCCAATAAAACATAAGCCAGTTATAAAACTATAACTTCACATCAAAATTTTAAAAAGTTGTTTAAAAAATGTTTGAATATATACATATCACACAGAAGAGCCTGCATGATCCTGTGGATTGTGTTGCTGATCAGACTCTATTTTAAAACCTGGAAGGGGCTGCGCCACCTGATCTGGTTGCACAAGTCCTGATATTGAAGAAACAGAGGAGGAGAGCTGAATTTCTATACCTGGTTCTTCAGACTCTATTTTTACACTCACTCCTTGGGGTTCACCTTCTGCCTCTGTGTTTCCAGGAACATCACTGTTCAGGCTTGAATTGCTTTCTGCTTTTGGAGAAGTCTCCCCCACGGGGTGATACTGTTTGAGTCTGATGTGCCAGGCTAAGCTGCAGACTGCTGACACTGTTTTGAACTGATGAATGACATTTCTAGGGATGAAGTAGATGTCATTGTCACACAACTGAATCCTAGCATAGCGAATGCCTTCCCGTCTCATTTGGTTTAGTTTGGCTTCGTCCACCCATTGAACACACTGGGAGAAGGAGAGATGGGAAAGTTAATGGTAAACTCTTCAAACAACTCAGCATCTTCCTATTTTCAAGAGAATTCATATATAAGAATGTCTCTGTTTCATGGGTAAAACTTCAAATTCAAAGGAAAACTGGACTTTAAAAATACAGTTTCTCTGATGTCTTGAGAGGACATCTTGAGAGGAGAATGAAGAGGTTTCTATAGTTACAGTTAAAAACAACAACAATGGGCTGCATTGTTTGGGCTGACAGGACTGAGTTTAGATGTTTCCATAGCCTAAGACAACATCAGAAAAAGCAGGAACAGGCACATATGGCTTAATCAACAGATTGTTTCTATAGCACACGCTGGGACTCACAGCATGAACCCCAGCTTGGAGGAAAGGAAAAGGAAAAGGTCCCTTTCAACTGAACTATTTTATCCTGAAACACAAGGAAATTTACCCAAGAGAGCTGAGAACATACTAAAGGGCTGACTTTAGGGAGAAGCTGGGATCTGTCATAAACTCCTCTCAAAACAGCAGGAATGAGCTGTCACGAGGGCAGATTTGATACCTGTGACACTGGAGGTTCATGCAGGTCCAGCTGAAGTCTCTGCACAACGTCAGTGAAGTCTTCAGCATGAAAACAAACCACATCTTTGGTTATACGAGGCTGGTCACTCCTAGAAAAAAAGAAAAAAGAGAATTCCAGGAATTCCAGCATTTGAGTTACAGAGCATTCCAACTCTTCCCAGCAGAAAGCTTCATTGAACCAATGACCTGCTTGAGTGTTACACTGTGCACAAAATTTCAACACTTCTCAATAGTGTATTATTTTGAAAAAGAGGTATAATTCATATATTTCCCTTTTTTCTTTCTCCATTTTTGCTGCATTCACAACGGAAGGGATGTTTGCATGGACAATGCACCAAAAAGCCTCAGAACCAGGTTCAAACTGCCACTATCAGAGTTCTCTGTGTTGTAGGAACCACTACTTGCCTCAATTCTTCCATTCTATAATTGGATAGAATAATTCCGTATTAAGGGAAAAATGCAAAATTACAAAGTAATACTGAAGTTGAAGCAGTGAGGAGTTTTATTCAACAGTATAGGAAATACTGGTATCTTTTATTCTAATGATAATGCTAATGATACTATCCAATTTCTAATGTAATTTCTAGCTATTATTATTATAATGATGCAAGTCCAGTTTCTCTGCAAGGTCAACAGCAATATCCTGGGTACATGACCTGAGAAAGCACTGCAGCTGTGAAATTAATTACACTCAGCTCTTAGACTACAGTTACAAAAGCTAGAATTAATATACCTGCTCAGGAAAAGAATAATCAAGGATGACAGTCCAAGTTTAAGGCTTTTGTATATCACTAAAATATTCTGCAAGTTGCTGTTCCAAATTTTTTACTGCCTCAAGATGGAAAAATAGGAGGTACACAGCTCGAGGTTTTCAGCTCTGTGCAGCTTTTGACCCACAGAATGAACTAGATTGGAAAAGAGCTTTAAGATCATCTAGTCCAACTTGTGACCTAATACCTCCTCATCAACTAAACCATGGCACTGAGTGCCATGTCCAGGCTTTATTTTTAAATTTTTTTTTTTTTTTAAACTAAAGCCACATCCAGGCTTTGATTTAAACCCATCCAGTGACTCCACCACCTCCCTGGGCAGCCAATTCCAGCCATTGTCACATTATAGGGTTTAAACCATTTCTGATTAGGTTTATTTTGCAAGGAATTTGCATCCTAGCAGCAACTTACCATTCCCCAAACTGCACAGCCTTGAGCACCCCGACAGCAGCTGTGCTCTGCCAGTCAAAGCCCTGCCCCACATGGTCAGCGTGAGCTCTGGTCCTGTCCTCGAACAGGACCTCGCGGGGCTCGCTGGTCCGAGGTAGGTACTGCAGGTTCTTGATCTCGTTCATTGACCTGGAACAGCAGAAAAACACACACTAAAAATGTCCCTGCTGCTCAAAAATTCGCATTTGTACTGAAATAATCTTAAAATTCTGGGTGCTACAGGCTTCAAGGGAACAAAGGACTTCACTCTGATTTTTTACTGGGTGTTGATTTGGTGAAAGATCAAAACAAAACCAGCAAAGTACAATTCAGGTTATAAGATCAAACTTTACAAAACAAATCAAATCACATAATTTTTGTGTTCACTTGTGCTGAAAGATTTCCTCCAAAAATGTACCAGTATGTAAAATAGAGCTATCTTACAGAAACTGAGCTTCAGTTATTTGGGAGTACATCCAAATATTCTTCTTGAAATGACAACTAAAATATGCTTCCAAATCTCCTGAAATTTTGTTTAGAGCACTCTTTCAAAGACAGAAAGCAAGAATACACAATAATTCCTGGGCAGGCAGTGTAATAAGTGCTTTAGCACTGACTTTAGAAGGCAGAACATGCAGTAGAAGGATCTCTACTGTTTTACAGCATTCCACCTGCCCTCACCACCAAACTGGTTCACAGAAATAAGAGGAATTAAGTCTGCAGGATAATAAAAAGACGTTTTAACCTTAAAGCACTGATCTAGGATATGTGAGAAGTACTGAAAGATACTGTCAGAAGTAGTGAAATAAAATAACCACCAAGGGTAACAGTTGCTTTATCAGCTGAGCCACTTTGAAACAAAGTGAAAGTGAAACTTAAATGTGAATTAGTCGCCTGAAGAGCCAGTTACACATCAAGTATTTAGCTTTTGTTCTCAAATCTGACACAGACTTAACTGCAATGTTTTACCTCGAGTACAAAAGGAACCCAAAGCTTACCGGCGCCGTTTGAAGGGTGATTTTGGCATATCAGCTGTGGGGATCATCTGCTCTCCCGGCCTCACCCACATGATGGGCCCATCATCACTCTGGGACCTGCACTGCAGTCTGAGACTGGAAAGAGTCCCCCAGGGCAAAGTCATCTAAAAGAAAACAGGAACAAAACAACCCACAAAACACACATAACACAAAACACTGGGTGAGATAGAAAAATTAAATGATGCCTTTGGTAAAACTGGTTCAAATCTGCTGTCAAAAGAATTGCACAGAAACTAAGCAAGTTTGAGAGGGAAAAGATATTCCAAACTACTTTTATCAAGCATAGTTTTTAGGGAAGTAGAAGTGCATGTATTGCAAGTATATATAATAAACTTGATTATTTTTAATTAGCCACCTCATTCCATGCCTTTCAATTGGACACAGGAAAGAATGAGCCTCGGTAGCCCAAATAAGCACATCAGTAAAGAAAATACCTTACAGTTTCTAATTATTTGGAAACCTAACAATTGCTTAAATATCTACAGTGCTCTGAACACACCAAAAGTTACTGCTTACTCTAAGAAATGGAGATTCTTCCAACATATCTAGGAATTCTGGGAAGTAGTCCCCCACTTCTTCATCCACTGCTCCCACCAGGCTGATCTGGCGCATGGGTCCTGCTCTGTAGGTGCCACAGCAGTACGTCCGATTGACCTGGGGGCCAGACAGGAACACAACACCAGCACAGCTTTAGTTCTCTCACAGGAGGATAAAAGTGACTGATCTAACACAGCTGGGATCAATCTTGGACTCCTCTACATCTGTTTCAGCAGATGTGCCTTTGGGAATACACACAGGGACTGTTTAGAATAGAAGAGAAAGAAAGGACTCCTGCCTGTACTCCTGACAGGAAATCCTTCTGGAGTCTGAACAACAGCAAGTGAATATTTGACTAATTCAGGAACAATTCAGCACTTCCAGGCTGACTTGAGAAAACAACCACACAAGGCTTCATTGTGATTCAGTCTTTCACCAGCAAGCTTCAACTCTCCACTAGTTTGTGCATTTGGACTTTTGCTTCTCCGTTTCAAACCGGATGCTCCTGGGATATGCACATTCCTCAGTTCAGTGCTGTCCCTGAGGTCCTTCCCCTGGGACTGCAGTGAAAAACCTCAGGGTCTTTCATGCAGTGGTTCTGGTCATATACACAGGAAATTGGACAAAAAACAGATGAAATGAGGAGTTTAGCTGGAAAGCCAGTGCTCATGGAGAAGAATTTTAGGATAGCCATTTGCAGTAGAACCCGCTGGCAGTGCTGGGGTCAGAAAAACTTTAATCTCACAGCTCGTGGACATCCTACAGAACACAGACTGTCCCACTTTGCTGGGTCATCTGGAAACTTCTCTTGTGAACTTCCTGTTCCCAGAGGAGAGGCACTGGCAAGACTCCAGTGTTCTGTAGCCTCATCCTATGGACTGCAGCTGGAATGTGCCATATGGCCACAGAGGAGGTCCTGCACAAACACCACAGCTAACTGATGTACAGAGCACAAGTTCTACAGAGCACAATCTGCTTTGCACACTCAGCTGTGTCCGAGCCCCAGCCTTCCACCACCCTTGACTGTTCCGGGGGTGAAAAACTGCAGCTGTTCTCCATGGCTGAGTGGTGGGACAGTACAGACAATTACTGGTAAATGTGCAGTTTAACAGTCATGTTCACCCGGCGTTATGCATTTTAGAACTCCATTTATAGATACATGGACATAGCAGCTTAGCTTTAAGTTTAGTTTCAGTTTTGCATGTTTAGCTAGCAAACCAAATGTCATTAAACTACTCCATGCAGTTGTTAAAGGTAAATTAGGAGAGACTAATAAAGGAAGAATAAAGTTACTGCTGCAATTTTATCCTCCAGTAGCAGCCACAGATATTTCACAATTATACAGATTTAGCTCACTCTATTTGCTGAATGCAGTTCAGAGCAGAGCAGGAGCACTGGAACACCACAGCAATATTTTTGTTCTGTGCATCTACAGAAAAACCGAGGACTGAAGTGTTCTGGTCCTTATCCAGTGAAGTTTAACTGCCTGGCACTGTTTATGTAAGTGGAGACAGACTCCTTCCAGATGAGTTCCGTGCTACTGAAACCACCTGGTGAGAGTCACTAGTATTTTACAGGTATTTGTCATGAGTTAAAATGAATTATAATTCCATATGCAGCTTTTTCTTGTAATGTTTTCAAAGGAAGTGAAAAATTGGAAGCTTTAACTTTGTTTTTTTTTTTTATGCACTGGAACAATGGAAAAACAGACAAGTACTCAGGACTTATAAAGCAAACAGAAGAAATACTTAAGGGAAACATTGGATTTCAATGCTTTGCTAGTTTTTAATATAAACTAAAGGAATATACACACTTGAGAATTAAACCCAGGACGTGTTTACACTGACAACATGCACCAACCCACAGCAATCCCCAGCAGGCTGTATTATTCATCTCAAGCACCTCAATCACAGGGGATGTAGTCTACTAGTTCAATATACTATAAAAATCTTCACAGCAGCTCTCTCATTCTTAATTCCTTCTGAGCAGCAAACACTGGTTAGGCCAGTGGTCTCAAAAATATGATGCAATGAACAACTGAAAGAACAGGCACCTTTCTCTCCCTTTACAAGTGCATGGTTTAGTGTCCCATGAGTAAGCACCCTGCTTGCTGCACTGCAAGCTACTTTGGTCTTTCATTCACCAGGTGCTCCAGATTCCCTCTGAGCTCTGTTCACTCCACAGTCACCTGAGTGCACCCCTCATTGCAGGGAAGAAAGCTGAGATTATGAAATAGCTGAAGTCACTTCATTATATCCATTAGGACGTCTCTTCTCTCAGTGATTTTTATTTTTGTTTAAAGTTCAGCTCTTGTTTAGGAATTTAGCCAGGGTCACTCCAGTTCACAGGGCTGCCAGAAGTCAGTAACTTATTACCACAGCACCTCCCTTGCTATAATTTGTTCCCTGTGCTGCTTTAAAAGCAGCAGTGGATCACAAGCAGTCACTGCCACTGTTTTTACTGTTGCAAAAGGACAATGGGGCCACTAAGACTGCTCAGGCACCTGTGCCCTTTCAAATGCCACCCAGCCACCACTGCTGTGTGAACCCCCTGCTCCACACACCAACACTGACAGTGAGTTATGGGCATGTTTAAAATTAGCTCCAGTGCTCATGGAGACATTTTCTCTTGCTGCACCACGTGCCTCTCAGTGTTTCCCACACTTGGGTGAGAACAGAAGCAGACAGGCAGTGTTTCCCGGCAGAGGCTCAGAGCTGCTGTTTATTTGAATGCTCCCGAGGCACCCTGGCCTCACCACGGGTTAAGTGAGCAGCACAGGATGAGAAGAGGACACACAGATGAGGCATCAGCTGGAGACAAATGAGGTTAAGTCTCTGAAGTTTCTCTCCAGTTGCAAGAAAAGCATGAATCAGTTGACAGCAACAATATTTCAGCATGCCAAGTCAGCTATAAAACCAACCACACAAAACCTTGGCTACAAGAAGAAAGCAGGAGCACAAGGCTGGCTCCTGCTGAAGGACAATGAGGCACAGCAAGGGTGACATGCTTGACTAAAATATGACATAGTGCAGGACCACTGGGCATTGTTTATGCAGCTTTAGAGACAAACCAAGTGAAGGATGCAGTACAGATGCACAATTTCTCCTTTACATACTTTGATAGCTACTGTGAAAAAAACAGAAATTACCCCTCCAGAATCAGAGATGTTCATATGGGGTAGACAAACTACCCCATATAATGTGGTTCATGAACCACAGCTGTCAGGAACAAAGCAACCTATTCTGAACAGCAGGAGCAAGAAAACTCACCCAGTTATCACCTGTTAGCTGCTTCTCTCACATTCTTCCCAGAAGGAAGAGCAGCTTATGCAAAACCTACTTCCCCAATTCTCTTTCCTGGCCTCTTCCCAGAAACCCCACACACCCTCTGTGACAGTGTAACTGTTCTTTGGATCAGAGAGAGAATTCATCAGGCAAGCTGATCAGTTGGGAGAAAAAGCAGAAGGTTTATTTTAAAACTCTAAATATATTCCCATTCACTGTGTGGAAGCAGTTGTACAGAAACAAGTGATAAGGAAAATAAGAGTTCATTCTAGCTGCACTGCAAAGAGCTTCCAAATTAAAGCGTGCCCTTATGTGAGGCAAGCTTACAAATTTCTGCTCAGTGATTTGAGTCTTGAAAGCTCTCAACCCAAGTGAAAAACTCCACAATAAAGCTGAGCTCCAGTAGTGAAGTATTAGAACCAGTGAGAGCCAATGCAAGAAAAAATCCTCAGGACACTAAAACCTAACTATTTTAAGATACTGAAACCAAACATTTATGTAACAAATACACATTGGAGTGCTTTGCTATAAACTCACTACCCCGAGAACAAAGGAATTCACCTTGCAAGGCAGTTAATTACCACTAGACCTACCAAGTCCTTCAGATTAAAGTCCTTATTTTGAATACTACAATTCAGTTTCTCTAATAACACAAACCAGTTGAATGTCATGCAAGCCAAAGGTCACATTAAGTTGCAGTTTACAAAACAAATTTTGATTTCTGAACACTGAATCTTCAGGATTCAAGACTCCCTAAAGTTCCCAAACCCCTTGGCACAGGTCAGCACAGCAAAACAAACTCATGCACAGAGAAGGAACCCAGAATAGAGGCAACTTAATCATAAATAACCAGTGTTACAGCATACAATGTGCAACATGTTTAACCTGCAAAAGCACAACTATGAAGTGCTTCTGTACTGTACAGTCCTCTCACAGAAGGGTGAAAAGTGAAGCTTGGCCAATCTGTTCAAGCCTCAGCAGAGCTGCCAAGGAACAGCAGCACAACAGCCAGATTCATCATCCCCAGCCCTCCAGCAGGGCACTGCAGCCTTCTCCATTCCAAGCCAAGGCAGCCTGCAAAACTTGGGTGAACCCACCAACAATTTCTATGTTTCTTCAGCTTTTCCATCATCTGTATTCCCTGCAGAGCCCTGCTCCAGCTGCCTGTGACAGCTCCCCTGCTCTGTTTGCTGAGGGAGATCGCACTAACACACTCCAGCCAGAGAGGATTAACCAGGTCATGCTGAAGCTGGGTTTAGAGAAGTGGTTTAGACCAACTGAACCTTATGTCATGACTCAATCTTAATCAAGTTTAGACAGTACTTAAAATAGAATTAATTGAAGTACCAGCAGACTATAACCCAGCAAAGCTTCTTATTTATTACCATACATTCCTCACGTGTATTTATAGTGCCAGTATTCATGTTCACAGGACATTCACTGAGCAAAAATGCAATTGGTAAACATTCTGGAGACTGTTTAGCCATTTCAGGTGTCATCACATGTACTCAAGCCAGAATGCAATCAGGAACTACAGAACACAGATAAATCACTAACACAGAAGACTTTAAAGCCTGACCTGTGGACACATTTCACATCTGCAGCACACAGGTGTGTGCTGTGCAGAAGTGCTGTTGCCCACAGCAGAGGTTAGTGAACTAGTAAATGTAATTAATGTCTCAAGTAAAGACCTTAAAGGTAATCAGCAGTTTGGATCCATTCTCAGACTAAAAAGAAAGAACCTTTGTTCCATCAAAAAAAATTTTATCTAAACTGTAATCTTGTGGTATACTCATCACTACTAAAATCCAAGAGACTTTCATATGGGAATCTTAAAATTAGCTTAGTTTTTACTGTTGCATCCATTTAAGTTACATGGAGATACAGTTTCAGAATTTAAAGTAGCTTAAGCCTACCATGGAAACCGAGGGAGTAAATAAAATGAAGCTCCTTTTCAAAGGCTATTAAAAAGATTCTCTAACCACTGACAAGTTAGAAAGTTTAGACAGCACAAGGTACTGAGGGAATTAAGATGTTCAAAACCTTGTGAAACAGATATACTGAAACATGAAAAGTAACACTGCAAAAAAAACCAAACCCCATCTCTGACTAGAAAAGCAGCGTTAGCATTTGCAGCCTATGCAATTCTTGACACAGACTTGGCTGTTGTTTTGAACAATTTCAGTGTTTCCCCAAGTTTAGAAGAAAAAGATGCTCAGTGCAGATCTTCCCTCAGGTCACAGGTAGCAGTGTCTGACGTGTGATTCACCAGCTACCAGGGAGCACAGAAAAGCTTTAAGCAGAAGCAGGAATACACAGCACAGTAGTGTGGTTCTAACATCACCTTTCTTCATCTGCTCAGAAAATACATTTGTGACTTGCCTATTTTAAATCATGTCCGCTCTGGGTTACTGAGATTAATCAAATCTAGGTACTGTGCAACATTTATGCATTTGAATAGTTCTTACCTGAGAGTGAAAATTTGAAATTGTTGTTGTTTCAATGTCCTTCTTGCCCAAAATTTCCATTTTCACTGGAGTGTTTGGAAAATTAAAAGCAAAGTAATCCAGGAAGTCAGGTAAATAGGCAGCTGCTCCGTGCACTATGGCTAAAGCATAGTAAGCTGCATTTTTATCATTTTCACTGAATGACAACGCAAGAAACTCTTCTGCAAATCTCTCCATCTCCACTGGAGACAAAAATGAGAGTTCATCCATGTAAGCGTGCAGGACCAGGGCACCTCCATTGGACTGATGCTCCTCGTGAATGAAGTTACTGAATTTAGTGCCAGTCTTCAGGAAGCTGCTGCGGACAGAGTGCTCCTGGTGTGTCACAAAGGGGGTCTGGACTCCCTGGGGTATCCGGTATTCCTGCATGCCCAAGTTCAGTCTGCACAGCTGCTCATCCTTCAGGTACCTGAAGGATTCCTTGCTCATTTCCAGGCTGTCACACTGTCCTTGAGACAGAGTCTCCTTGTCAATGCGAGTGAGCCCAGCACACACTGTCTGCACCTCTTTGTTGTACATCTTCAGGCGTTTTCCCCTCACATCTTCCCGGTGTTTCTTTTTCTTTTTTTTCTTTATCTTTTTCATAATAAGACTGTCAGCTCGCTGGCTTTTGCCATTTTCATCTGGAGTTTCTGGCAGCAACAATAAAGAGAAGATTAGAGTTCTGCAGTTGCAGCATATTCACCCCAAAAGAATTCAGGCCACTCACTCGCTGAAGCCATCTATTCCCAGGGAGACTGACCAGTTGTAAAACATTGCATTTTTGGTTGTATAATTAAGTCAAAAGTCAGTACCTATAATTATACAAATAAAGCCTTGAATTAAGGAAACCTTCCAAAATTCTAGCTTAATATTTTAGAAATACTTCCATTTTTAACAGATTTATTAGAATACCTTTAAAAGGAGTCTGTAGTTTGGAACATCTATAATTAAGTACATTAATAACTTCTGACATTTAAGGCAGTGCCGTACAGGGGAAGAGGATAAACAAGTATGTGTAACATTTAAACGTTAAGACTTTCATTACTGAACACTTCCCTGATTTTGGATACATGATACAGAAGCAAACAGAGTAGCACTGAAGAGCTACAAGCTTTACTTACATTTAGAAGTAAAAACACTTAAGTAAAGCTTAGATTGCAGATCTTTTAAAATTAAAGGACCCAAATCATCACATCAATGGATTCAGTCCTGTAGTTAACGATTCAGTTAATGGAGAGAAAGAAATTAAGAGCCTGTTTCAGTTGTTTGGTTTTATTTTTAGGTTAATCAACCTCTAAAAGGATGAGAGATAAAACGTGAAGTAGTAGTTCTGTCAGGCAAAATGGAATAGCTTAAGTTGTTCTTCTTTCAAGAATAAAAACTAATTCCAATAACATTTAGCAAGGGACAAAGGTAATTAGAAAATTTGATGGCCCAGCTGTTACAAACTCAATTGCCAAGACAAGATTTTAACGTGCCTGAATCAAAGAACCATTCCATCCAACAGTGTGCCCATGAATCCCCAGGAGCTGTGTTAGCAGGATAGCCAAGGGGATGAGAACAACCTGCTGCTGAAGGCAACACCTGACTGAAGATGCAGTAACTAAAGTTTTACTATTTCCCCTCAGCACAAGGCTTTGTCCTAATGAAATTTCCTTTCTCTGGCTGCACACTGGTATTCCCTCTTTATTCTCTTAGAGCACTAAAGTTAAAGAAAAAAACCACGTTACACTCTTTTATGAAAAAGGGTGCAGTGATAAACAGAGGCAGCTCCAGGTTCTTCAGTGTAACCAGTGTTTAACTGGATCATTACTGGTTTGGTCTCGTTACTGGAGAGGGCTGACCTTCATAACAGCCTGGAGTAAGGAACAGAGTTACTCACGGAGCAAAGAAAGAGCTGATTGCTTAATCCTCACTTCATACAATAGTCTTAGGACCTGAAAGACAAGTTTTCAGCGTGCTGCTGCAGCCCTTGCAAACAGCAAAGGCCCTGATCTTTCTATTTCAGAGAAACCAGGAAAAGCAGGGCGGTATCACTTGTTCTGGGAAGCCAACTGAAACGGTTCTTGGAGTGAGGTTTGCTGCAAGGCTCGGGTGTGAGGAGCACACGGTTTGCTCAGTGTCTGGGCTCTGGAGCACAGACACTGCTTCACTCACTGAGTGAACGTGCAATTCACACACCAGTATTTGTCCTGGTGGCACCAGAGATCCCAAGCTGCAACTAAATAATAATTTCATGCCACCACTGCACTGTTGGGAATACTTCCCTGTGTACGTTTCTAAGAACATTTCGTTGTTGAAGATTTCTTATTGTAAGCATTTCTGATTTTATGTATAGTTTTAAAACCTCAGACATTTTAATTCAGAGCATCTTCCTGTATGAAACCATGTCCTAATAACAGACAGAAGAATCCTTGCATTTGGGAACTTCCAGTGAACATTTGTCTGTTTTCAGGATAAAAGCTGCCCTGGCTGCTGCTGGATCCATTGAACACAGCAGAGTCTCACTAGTACAGTGAGTAACTGCTGTATTCAGTGAAGCTAAACAGTGACATTATAATAATGCCTGGCAATCCTGAAGAAAATATAGTTTTAATTACTCCTTTAAATAAACAGAAGGCCTCCAGCACCTCAAACACAAGGAGGCTGTGGACAGGTCACTAAACTATGGGCTCCACAGCGAGGCAGAGTGACAGCAGTGCCAATAACTCAGCTACTCTAAAATGATCAGACATCCCACAACAAAAACAGAACCATTATTAAACAGCAAAAACAATGGGGGTGTTCACTGTCACCTGGGACCACAGATAAGCATAGGACAGTCAATGTAATAGGTAACTTAATTAGATTATACAGCAAAATAAAAACAGAGAGTCAGGGAAAGAAATATAGCCCCATCCCAAAAGGCACTACCCCTACAGCTGAGGACAGGCAGTGAAGAGCTTCAGATGAGCAAACAGCTTTCCCTTACAAATCTGGAATTTTGATGCTCATTTTCACGCTGTTTAAGCCTTCATTAAGAGGCCTAATTTAATTCTGGATTAGAACTGACACAGTGACACTCCACTCTACAAAGTTACATTGCTCCAAACTTTTGCTTGATGAACACTGATAAAACTGCAGAGGTTTACAATCAGAAGTTTTTTTAGTCACTATTCAAGCACAGTGGTGTGGAAGCATTAAACTCTCCTGGTACTAGTTTTGCCTGTTCTTAAGACAGTCCTACCTAGATTTTACTCCAGAGACACTTGACTTCTGTAAGCAAGTGCATCTTTGGTTTCTTTGGCACAAAACCTGCCCATACACTCCTCAAGCATAATTCACCACATTATATTTTTAATTACAGTACTTTTGCAGTTATTTTTTATCTATGTTGCTCTCTCCAAGAAGCTTTTTACTACAACAAATCTCTGAGAAGAACCAAAACAATCACTCTGTACTGTTAAAATAAAATAAACAAAACCACACACAGCACACACTAAAATCCAGAAATATTTTGGCCTTTCAATAAAAGAAAACACAGAATCATTCGGGCTTCAAGGGACCTCTGCAGATCATCCAGCAAAACACCCCTGCCAAGGCAGGGTCACCTGGAGCAGGTGACACAGGTTTGGGTTTGGAATATCTCCAGACAGGGAGAATCCAGGACCTCCGTGGGCACCTGTTCCAGTGCTCTGCCACCCTTCATTGAAAGAAATTCTTCCTCGTGTTGAGGAGGAACTTCTTGTGTTTTAGTTTCTGGCTATCCTGCCTTGTCCTGTTGCTGGGCACCCCTGAAAGGAATCTGGTACCATCCTCTGACAACCGCATTGGAAATATTCATATGGAATCACAAGATCCCTTCTTCTCAGGCCACTTATTAAAACCAACAATTAAACATTTAAACCCAAAACCCAACAAACCAGCAGCTCCTCACACTTTTGCGTGAAGAAACCTTCACTCCCTCAACACCCGCACGCTGAACCTGCGATGAGAGCGATTCTGACAGCAGCGGGAACAACGCGGCCGCCCCGCGCTCCGTGCCCGGGGCAGCCCCGCTACGACACGGGCGGACCGGGGCGGCCGAGCCCGCCGCCCTCCACAGGTGCGCCCGGGGCTGCGCCGCCGCCGCCGCCCGGCCGAGCCCGCCGGGGCACCGCGACCCCCGCGCTCCCCCCGCCGCTCACCTCGCTGGCTGGGCCGCCCCGCCGCGCCGTCCGCGGGGCTGCCGCGCCTCGCCTTGTGGCCGGCGGGCTCGGCGTGGTGCCGGTGGTGGTGTCGGCGCTCCCCGGGAGGCGGGAGGCTGAGCGGGGAGAACGTGAACAGCCCCGCGGCGGCGGCGGCGGGGAGGGCGGGTGGGGGCAGCGGATCCGCCGGGCCGGGCCCCGCCAGCAGCGCCTGGCTCGGCCGGGCTCGCTTAGCAGCCGGCGGCTCGCCGGGTGCCGCCCGCCGGCGGCGGGGTCCGCGGGGCCGGGCGGGCCGGTCCGCTGAGGGCGGCGGCGGCTCCTCCGGGGCCCGCGGCACCGCGGCGACCTGCGCGGCCATTTCAGGGGCTCCCTCACACACATTTAAATGGCCCGAGCGCCGGGCGCCGCCGCGCACGCGCCGCCCGCGGGGCACCCTGGGACGTGTAGTTCGGGAGCGGCGGGGGTCACGTGGGCGGCGGGAGGAGGGCGGGAAAGCGCTGAGGGAGAGCGGAGGAGGAGCCAAAAACTTTTATTTTAATGGCGTTTGGCGCTGTTCCCCAAGTGCTTCGTCCGTTAAACACCGGCCGCGGAGTGCTGCGGAGGTTTTCCCCGTGAGGGAGATGATGTGGAGCTGTTGGAGCGAGCTTAAAGAGGTCATCCCTGCCTGTGGCAGTGGTATGGAATAAAATCATTGAATCATAGATTGTTAAGGGTTGGGAGGGAATTTAAAAATCTCGTTTCACCCATTGCCATGGGCTGGGGCACCTTCCACTACAGCAGGTTGCTCCAAACCCTGTCCAGCCTGGGAGAAACAGGAATATAATTTGGGTAAAGGTTTTCACTGTTTTCTGGTGTTAAGAAAATCTGTGACCACAGTAATAAAAAAAGGCAATATTGGCTATTCCCCCAACTTTAAACCAGCTGAGTTTTCCATTCCAGCAGTGGTCAGCAAATTCTTGACCAAATTCCCCAAATACCACCTTGGTTGGTGGGGCTTTTTTGGTTTTTGTTTGGGGTTTTTTTCCCTGTCTTTACAGGAAAATAATCATATAAAGTAATGTTCAGCATCTTTATCCCTCCCCACTGATAGAAACATTAGTGGAATCTGCTGAGGAATCTCGTCTTCCCTCTTCCCACCTGAAATTCTGTGCTGGAGAATCACAAATCCTTGAAAACAGCATTGATTTAAAAAACAATAATATTTTGCTTGCTGTCATGGTGTTTTGGGATTTTTTTTTTCCCAGATAGAAGAGCAGCTGGGTCAGCCACTTGTGCAGTTACACTGGTTTCATTTCCATGGGATCAATCACTGTCTCAAGTCTTTTTGCCCCAAAATCCTGACAAATGCTCTGATTCGCTCAGATGGGGAAAAAAACACAAACGCTTATGTTATTTCTAAAATTTGGGATGCTAATTCCCTCTTAGTCCAAGTAATGTAAACATTTCAGTGTCTTTGATTAGAATAGACCTACAGATGTGAGAGAGGGTCTTGATCACCTCACTCTGCTCCGTTGGCTTTCCAGTTCATTCCAGAGTCTTCACTGGGTCCCATCATCAGTTTATGCTCAAATCCATCCTTTTCAAGTGATTACTTTCCAAAACATGACAAAAAGATGTCCTTCCTTAGGATAAAACTTGTATTCCAAGGTTTACCTTCCATCCCATTGCGAATTAACTGAAAGCTGCTGGTACTTTTACATTCTTCACTTTAAAACTCCAGTTTTAAATTCAGTGAATGTGCAAGTAGTGCCTGAGCTGCCAATACCGTGTAACAGCTTTGGATGTGTTTATTTTGGTGGAAGCTTCACTGGGATGGGCATTCCAAGTATTTCAGGATGACTTCACAAATCTGCAATGCCAAGTCTGTAGAATACATCTAAATATTCCATGCTGGGGGTGGATTTCTTGGTCCTTTAGGTTTTAAAAATCGATTTGCAAAGCCTAGGAAGAAATTATATATTTTTTAACGCAACAAATTCTGCATGTTACAGATGTTGATTATGTAATTCCTTAAAATAACACAGGAATTGAAAATACTTGCAATTTCAGATCTTTCCCAAGCTTTAAGATATGACAGAAAAGCAACATCCCATAGTTGCAAATAAAGTTGTAAATGTGTAAAAATGAAATATGTAAAACCCAATGAGAATTATTTGAAATATTTGTAGTTTATAAGTTATCTGCCTGGCATTTAGACTTCCAAGAACTGGATTCTTCCAACCAAAACATGAGAGCAAAACATACCAAAGTTAAGGAAAGACCTCGGAGAGTTTGTTGGGGCAGATTCTGTTGATTTTGTCAGTGGACTGCAGATGCCTAGAAATAAAAAAAGAGACTGGAGCAGCTGGTCACTGGCTCCACACATTTAAATGCTTGCTTAAAGCCATTGCGAAGATATTAACCTGGAAAACTTACTTTTTTTCACATTTTTCAATATTTTCAAGCTCTGTGAAAAAAAATGGAAAAAGGCTAGTTGGAAAAAAATGTGTGAAGCAGTGGATCAGCTACTGTGGTAAAGAGAATTTGCTGGTAATGCACATGTATAAAAACGCTGATAAATGTACATGCATAAATAGATCAGCTACTGTGGGAATTCACTGATAAATGTACAAGTATCACATTTCATAAAAAGCAAACTTTGTGCCACTTTCTTTGGCTTTTTCCTTGTCATCCCAAATGCCTCCAGGTTGTACTTTCTTGCTGTTTTCCTCAAGCGCTTTTCTGTTCCACCATTACACCCCGAAGTACAATCTCACGGGGATAATTAACAGGAGGCTCAACAAGAGGAGGCAGGCCATGGTTTTGTCCTTGTAGGACAGACTCAGACCCCGCTGGAGCAACTTTTTCCCAGAGTTTTGTTTCTTTTACCTTGCTCCTCTTGAAGCATTTAACGAGTTCTTTGGATGATGTTCCTGAGCCCTTGTTCTCCAAACCCACAAGACTCAAGGAACTTCTTGCAGCAGGCTGGAGACCTGGGAACATACATGATACATACGTTTTCAGTGGTCATTCACAAATCCTCCTGCTTTTATCCAAGTGCTTTATTGCTGCTTTTCATCTCCACTAATGCAGCACTTCTAGAAATTTTCTGCAGGTTCCCTATTTGTGTTTATTTTTGTTGCATTTGCTGAACTCTCCTGCAGGGAAGTGCTGAAGCAGTACCTGGTGATGCTTTGAACAAGTGGGCCACGCTCTCAGAAACCTACAGGTTTAGGTGTGAGTGTAAAACCTCAGTTGCATCCTGAGAAAAGAGCTCAGCACTTACTTGCTGCCTCAGCGAGAACAAATGACTCCGGGGTTCTTTCAGGAAGCGGAGGAGGAGAATTGGAGCAATCCTGGGTTGTCTCTGAGAAAGCAAAGATAAAAGAGTTGGTTACTTAGCTTTAAAATTATATTTATATAATTTTATATTATATATATACGTATTAGAATCAACCAGCTTATCTCAGATGTCTCAAAGGAAACTCACAACATGCAGACAAAGAGAAGACTGCAAGGAACATCCTCATGGACAGGATGATGCAGGAGTTGATTAGGAAACATAAAACTACCAGTTCACTTTGTTGCAGAACTGTTTAGTTCTGGTTGGAACTATTTAGTTGCAGAACTATTTTGCAACAATTTCCGTTGCAGTGAGCACAGATCCTAAACACTTTTACTAAATAAAGCAGTTTCAGAAAAAAAAGCAGGTCTTAATTCCAAAGATTTTCCCAGTGTTAAACTTTTACCTGTTCGTGGGCTCCAAAGCTTCACACTCTGGAAACAAAAAACAAGGCAGGTATTTAAAAGTCCCACATCCAAATGTTATTTTCTTGCACACAAGGAAGCCAGAGAAGACGAGGAAAGGATGTGATGTGCAAACACCCTCCCACATACACCTCCACACTTGTGCAGAGGAAGACAGACTTGTGCCTCATTCTTCCACTTCACAGAGCTGTCACTCAGCTATGGGATGATCAACAGACGCCTAAATTTTGTTCAGCTCCTGTTGGCTCCACAGGGCTGTGTAAACTCAGCAGAACACTAATGTCCTGTGTTCATTATCCTTCTCTAAGTGAGGGACAACATGTTTATTACCCTGTACTGGTCTTAGAATTCCAAAAAGTGATGTTTGGAGTAAAGTAGGTGTTGATAAGAACCCATCTTCTTTCCAATCCTGAGCCCTGAAATCCCTGGAAGTGTTCAAAGCCAGGCTGGACAGGGCTTGGAGCAACCTGGTCTAGTGGAAGGTGTCCCTGCCCGTGGCTGGGGGGTGGAATGGGATTTTCTTAAGATATTCCATAATTCTGTTATTCTATGAAATAATTTATGGCAAATATAAAGTTCCAAAAAGTAGAGTCTTTCTCACAGAAGGAAATATGGTAAGGAGATTGGCATAGGAATAGTGCTGGAAAAGAGGTGAAAGGCCATTCTCACCTTACATGGTCTCAGACTCACAGGGTCATGAAACCCTTTTGAGTGAGACTCACCACTCCACTCCCAGGAGGTTCCAATATTTGGATTTCTGTCTGGAATCTGGAAATCCGGAGTGGCCTGAGGAAATTGCCCTAGAAGCAATTGACCACCAGAGAGATCATTCCTCATTCCAGGCACTGCCAGATGCTACAGAACCACCCCGGTGTTGGGTGAGCCCTCAGTGCTGCTCATTTAATTTAATTTAATTAACAACATTTAATGTTGTTAATCACTCACCTGGCTCACTGGCCACAATGAAGGACTCTGGGGTGCGCTGGGGCAGGGGTGGAGCATCATCATCATCATCATCACGCTGTGGCAGGGGGGCTGATTGGAGAGACACAGACAGGTTACGGGCATGGCAGGACATGAGGGCACCACAGACCTGTAGGGAAGGTCACACAGTGGTTCAGGGCAGCTGTGTAACTCAAACACCAAAGTGACACTGCTCTAAAAATGTTTGTGGGGAAAAAAATTCAGGCAGGATGAAAAGTGTGAGGATGAAACCAGTTGCTCCCTCAGCTCCCATGAGAGCCCAGTCCTGAGGAGAAGCTACAGACCTGCCTGGACACCAGATGACCACACTGACCACTCCCTCCAGCACGCCCAGTCCAGAGTGAGCTGGTGCCATGTGTCCCCTTGTCCCAGCAGCACTTACCCGAGGAGATGATCCTCTCCTGGTTCAGGGGAACATGGTGTGATGATGGGGAGCTGGCTGTGGTGGGCTCTGGCGGGGCACTGGCAGAGCACGTAGGGAGGAGCTCATCCTGCCCCTCCAGAAAGGGAAACACGGGGGACACAGGGTCATCTGGAGAGAGTGATGAGAAGTAGGGGTCTTCTGCTGAGCACAGGGAAGGGTGAGGGCATTGCCTCTGCTTCCTGTGGCCTGGGGGGCCACCCGCTGCTCGTCTGGAGGGGTTCAGGTCCACAGGGGAAA